CTGTGCAGCCAGCCCCCCAAGACTTCTGCTTGAGACGAGCAGGACTGGGGGCGTGAGGTTGCGGCTCTCCAGAGACCATATCTGCCGCCGCTGAAACCCAGAGTGGAGCAGAAGAGGGTTTGGGTTGGTTTTTTTTGAACAAAGAACCCTTTAGGTTCACAGGTCTCGCATGTATATAGGGACAGTGAATTTAGACTTCAGCCTGTTGAGTTATATAGGAGCCAAGTCAAGGCTCAGATCTGACTCTTTAGAAGATACTTTTTTATTTTAAGAATTTTCTTACTGCCTCCATTTTCAATCTGTTTTGCACCCCCTTGTTTCTGCATTGAACCCTGGAATTGCATAATCGGCAGCAGAAAAAAATGGTTTGACTGATTTTATTTGCTTTCTCTCCCCTCCCTTCTCTTTTGTGACAGATTAAAAAGCAGCAACAAGATGTGTTAGGTTTCTTGGAAGCCAATAAAATTGAATTTGAGGAAAAAGATATCGCCGCCAATGAGGAGAATCGGAAATGGATGCGAGAGAACGTCCCTGAAGACAGCCGGCCAGCAAGTGGGAACCCCTTGCCGCCCCGGCTCTTCAACGACAGCCGGTACCTCGGGGTAAGGAGTGGCTCCAGGCCTCCATCTCTCCTTGTCCCAGTCCTCTTACTCGCTGCTGTAGTCTGTGTTTTTGCTGTTGTGATCGGCAAGGAAGGACCTGGCCAGCTGTACGTTCAAGTGTGCAAACTGTGAAGGGCATGGGAGGTGTTAGACATTTACCTCTCCTCTTGGGCTTTTAATAATAATAGATTCTTGAATATTCCAGTTCTGCCATAGAGTAGGGATTAAAATTTGACCTCCTGATTCGCAGATCATTGTGTTACTTGCTGGAATGAGTCTACCACCATCTTGCAGTGTGTATATATTTCTTTTTTTCCCCGTGGTTTTTTTTTTTTTCCCACTCTTACGGCTCTGAAAGTTTACAGGGTTTTTTAATTCTCATGTTCACCATGATTGTGAACTAACACAGAAGTCTGGCCCTGTTGCATCACTCATGTTCTATAGCAAATTCAGAGATCTGTTCTGTCTACGTGGGGTTTGCCAATATGTATGGATCCCAGATTGCTCTGTAGTCTGTTCATCTTCCAAAATAAGTGCTCATATACGGTGATGTCTGCCATGACCAGAAATCAGTTTTCTGATCCTTCTTGGGATTCAGTTTTTGTGTACTGCTTGCAAAATGAAGGCGGTTGCAGGCCACTTACTCCAATGCCAGATTAAAACCCATGTTGCGAACACAATTCCTACTTGTAATTATTTTAATGTTTGATCAAAAGTAAGTTGCCCTGCAGCACTTCTACTCAGCAGGCCATGCTTGAATGTTTATTAGATTAACTGTTAATTTTATTTTTAAAACTTAGTATCTTCTGAAAAGAGCTCACAGTATGCATTCCTCTGGTGCCGTGTGTTGGTTTCTAAGTTGTTTTGCAGTCTGGTCCTGACCTGCAAAATCTCTTAAGTCAGAACCTGTCAGTTCTGGACCTTTGTAAGGAGGTTCTGTGGCTACTGAAAAAGATTAAGAGATTAAGTGTTCAAGAAACGTGTGGATGTGGTGCTTCAGGACATGGTTTAGGGGACATGGTGGCGCTGGATTAATGGTTGGACTTGATGATCTTGAAGGTCCTTTCCAACAGTGTTTCTGTGATTCTGTGATTATTCTCAATGTGCCATGATTTTTTTCTTGCTTGTAATAAAAGCAGAACTTGAAACAGTATCCACAATGAGCTAATGTACCACTTTGGCTCTCAAAATCTTACTGATTGTGGTTGTGACATGCAAAAAGGTTGGTTTGGAGTGACAAATGTAATGATCCATAGTGGTTTGAAGCTGAGGGCTGAGAGGGGCTAGTCACACAGAGTAGAAAATCTCTGTTCAGTTATGTCTCTTTAAAACCAACCAAACAAAAAAAAGGCCAATATTTCCGTATCAGTAGGAAGTCCAGTTGCAACAGTGTCACCTTTCTCCCTTGGTGTACCAGAGCTTTAGGGATGCCAGCAGATCACTGTGCAGTTGTCCTTTCTCAGTGAAGTGTTGCCAGATTTCTGCTGCATTGCTGCAGCTGTGCAGCAGAACAGGACTTTACTACGCAGTGGTGTGGGACAGGAAGACAAAAAGCTGTATGCACCTAGATCTGGATGTTTGCTTATCAGAGATGCTTCTAATGTATCCCCATCTGCACCCCATGACAGTTCTGTGTATGGTAATTTGGGGGAGAGGGGTATAGATGCTTCAGACCAGATCTTGCTATGCATTTCTTTCATCCCCAAAATTTTGGTTGGTGTCCCTTTGAATTTTTGAAGTTGGGTCAATTTATGCAGCTGGATTGAAGTTACTACAGTTTAGCTTTCAGGAAGGTAAAAGTTAATTCTATGCCCACACTCTTGAACCTCTTTATGCCTTTATCTGATCCATCTCAGGCATGAACTTCCCTGTTTGTTTCATCTGATGCAACATAACTGGCAGAGGAATGAGCAAATCGACTTCTATTGGCCTGTGCACAGCAGAAGGGCTGTAACTGTAGATGCTGTGCAAGCTGGCATGAACCCTGCTTCTCAGTTGCAGGCATTCCTTTCCTGGTAGACGCTACGAAGCAGGCTGCCGGACTATGCGCTGGCAAGATAAACAACCCCTTTGTTATCAAGCAGCCCCAGTACTGTCAACAGAAGGGCTTCAGGGAGGATTTAACATAATCATACACATTTTTATCAAACTAGCACCCGAATGCTACATGTACAATAACTTGACATCCTTGATCTCTAGGCTGTTTGAATCCTCTGTTCCCTGTACTTTATTCCAGCTGCAACAGCCTTTTCTGAGAGCTGCCCCTGCTCTGAACACAGTGCTGCGTTCAAACAGTGTTTGCTATTTCTTAGGCTTTTGACCAGACTGACAGGCATGCAAAGCAGCGTGCCCTTAGTGGCAGCTCTCTCCCTGACTTCAGCTCGAGACTGAGCCTGCTCTCAGCTACTGCCTTGCCTTGGGTTTCTCAGCCAGGATTCCTCCATCAAAACATTCCCCAGTAAAGCTGGATGAAGCTAGTATTGTTCCTTCAGTTAAAAAGGGAGAGAAGGAAAGTCATAGTACAGATATGTGCTGAGTTTGGAAATCAGAGTGAGGGAAGTATGTGGTAACTCAGACAACGGTGGACTTGCACAAACCTGGGTTCGTTTGGTCGGTGTTTGGCAACTGCTGTTGCTGAGCCACGCTGTGGACTTTTTGCTTGCTCTTGGCTAACTTAGGAGACAGCTAAGCTGTGTTGTATACTCTGTACAAGCACTGCATTCTTCCTCAAATATAAAAAAGGGCAGAGAAGGAAGCATTGGTATTTCTTTTATTATTTCATTGGTTTTACCTTAATTTTCCCGGGAAGTGGCTGGGTGCATGTTTAGAGCAACTGTAGTGCGCTATGAGTACAATGAACAGTGCCACCTGATTTCCTTCGTTTGTGTAGACTAATCATTAATGGGAGGCATGATGGGAAAGGATGTACTCTCAGTTTACAGGTTTAAATTTAACTTCTAACAGGTTTAAGAGTTAATGTCCATGGTTGCACAGTTACCATTACTAATCAGTAATTAGCAATGACATCTGGGGACATCAGTTTCTGATGAGAAGGTACGGGCTCAGCCCGCTCTTGCAGGAGGGATATCCGTGCCAAAGCAGTGACAACAACTACCTTGCCATCGAGGCTGTCCCTCGGGGAAGGGCGGAATCACCTCCCAGCAGCATCTTGTTGCTACAGATACTGAAAGTCCCAGCTTGTCACTTTTCAGACAGTACAGGTTCTGTGGTATCAGTGCTGATGATAAATACCCGAGGTGATGCTCTGAATTTTGCATTCGGCCACAGGAAGCAGTTTGCTCGGTGCGGGTTGGGTAACACACCAAACCGAGCTGCGATTATTTCTGACAAATCATACTTCTGTTTTTTGTTTCCACTCCCCTCCCTGACTCCCACGGTGAAGGACTACGAAGCTTTCTTTGAAGCTCGAGAGAACAATGCGGTATACGCGTTTTTAGGCTTGACTGCGCCACCTGGTTCAAAGGTAGGTGTGTACATTTCTCACAGTAAACCACAACCTGCATTTTACACCTTGTTCTTCTCTGCTCATAGTAGGATCTTTTACATGTCCTGTGGTTGCCCCAATAAATCTACCTGCTGGTCTGATATTCAGTCCCCAGAAACTAACTTTCAAGCTTCAACACCACAGCAACACACTGTTGTTACGTGCCGGTTTGTTTGGAGGATGCTGTGTTCCCTGGAGGCATCTTCCTCCCTCTCCTTCCTTCTACCAGAAAAACTCAGTTTTTCATTACAGATGCTTTTTTGGTATCCTCACTGCAGAGCCACCCTGTTCTTTTTTAAGTTAATGGAAGAGCTTTTGTTGCTTTGGAAAGAAGAGCTGGGTCAAGTTCTTCACTAGCAAGAATTGTCTGTTACCGTTGTTGTTGGGTTTTTTTTATTGTACACTCTGGAAACAAGTTAATATTTGCACTGAAGAATGCACAAGAAATCTAGATGAAAAAAATTATCACAAAACCAAAGAATTATTTCAGTTCAGTGAAAAAACTTAATTCATGTGAAGTTTTGATGAGATCTTTGTACTAGAAAATACCTTGAAACCAGAGTCACTGTTTCTGAAATAATGCTGTCTTGCTTCAGAGTAATTTTTTCATCCAGCTCATTATCTAAAGCCTTGTTTTCCTTTGCCAATTAGAAACCGGGTTGCCGCTTTGCGGATGCAATGGGCTGGAATTCTCCTTTTGATTTTGATAGGATAGGACAAGCCTGCTTTATACGTTTCACTTGACAGCAGCAGGATCCTCCAGGTCACTTCCAGCTTTCTTGTTCCAATGAATAAACGTGCCATTTCCTTTCAACTTTATTCATCTAAGAGTTGAAGGTCATGCTGTGCACATTACTAAGAGATCTAATTTTAAAGGTGGATGATGATCCATCAGTATTAAGCATCACAAGTTGTAGGTCGGATTGAAACAGTTTTGGGAGCCAAACTAATTTCTAGCAGTAGCTCCACTGATGTGAATGGCGTAGCGAGGAAAAACTCTGCCTCGTGCAGAGAATTGCAGAGAGCAAAACCTGTGATACATGCCCCAACATCACGCATCACCGGCATCAGGAGGCCAGCTGCACGCAGTGCAATGGTGATGTAAAGCTTAAGTTTCTTGGAACATCTGCACAGCACTGCACAAAAGAGTATGCAGGATGGAGCCCAGGGGGGAGAAAGCAGCCCTGAACCCACAGGATGCAGGGAGGCCCGTGCGTTTCCCCTCCCAGCCGAGGTCTGGGAAGCGCAGCGGTACTGGAGAGCAGTTGCTGCCGTAATGAATCAGGTCATCTGTCTCTGTAACGTTCATGAACATCGCTGCTTGCTTAACCTGCCAGAAGCAGTCTGCATGGCTATTAGTCGCTCCGCTTCTGTCCTAAGGGGTGGCTTTTAAGGAAAAAAGGTGAGTTTTAAAAGGGAGAAACCTAAAGCATTTGTTTTCTGCTGAATTTTCATATTGCTTGCTACAGCATGGGGAGGTGTGTTTGAGCTGATGAAGATAACCTTTGTGTAAGTGACCTTGTACCCAGCACATTCTGCTGCTGGTCTGACTTTTGGTATCCGTCCCACAATTACATGATGTCAAATCATGCTGATTGCCTGCTGCTGAGGAGGAGAACCTGATTTGTAGGTGCCGAAATTGGCATTTACAGCATAGCTGCCTGCAGCTTGGATATGATATCGTAGTTAATGACATTGCATCTGCATTTGTTGCTCCGTAAAATGGAAGGAGTCTGGGATCAACCTGTGTGCTATTGCAAGAGAGGACCTTGACAGCAAACCTCCTTTAAATGTCATCATGAGAGATTTGGAAAGTTGTTTGCCTCTGAACGTACAGTTCCAATATTAATGCTAAACAAAAAGGACTCAGAAGTGAGCATGGGAAATGCAAATAACTATTTACTGAGCCCTGGGGCTTTGGTTTGTGCTTTGGCCACCGAGACTACAAATGGACCTACAAACCTTGGCAAAGACTGGCATTCAATTTATCCTAAGTACTCCCACTTCAAGCAATACGGGTTTTAAAGGAAGAGTATTTGGTGAGTTAAAGGCTGTGATTAATTAGTTAAGGACTGAGAGGTTGCTCAATGAAGGGCCTCAAAAGAGAAAGAAGGAAAAGTATGAAAGAGGAATAGTGTCAAATCTGAAAAGCTGAGTCTTTCCCAGGTAACTTGCAGGACCACGCCCAAGGAAATGGAGTTTTGTCTTGAAGACAAATAGGTTAGTATGTTCTCTGAGTTACCTGTACCCACTTTCCTGGGGATGAGGGAAATACCAGGAGTCCTCTCCAGCTTACCACTGGCTGTTTTGAAGAGAAGTACTTTGTCCTCCATTTTCGGGGCGAGGGGGGAAGAAAAAAGCTAGATGTCACGTCTGTAGTGCCCACGACTGGTTAATGGAATTGTTACAAATCCAAGGGAACCATCTTCTCTTTGTTGCCATTCAAAGAACCACTCTTCTTTTAGAGAATATCAAACATCCTTGGTTTTTTCCAGGCTTTGTGGTTCTTTTTAATCTTTCCTTCATTTTTCACCTGCCTTTTCTGCCATGAACCGATGGGATGCCCTTGCACAAGCATCGTGGCTGCACGGTGACGTCCCGGCTCCACTCTTTGACCCGCAACGAGCAGCCAGAGGAGCAGAGCGCAGCGCGGGAGCACGGCAGACCTAAGCCACCAGTCCAAGCAAGGCTGTTCCCACGCCCCTGAGTTAAAAGGCAGCACGATGCGACGCGCTTGGGCAGATAGCCAGGAAAACCAGAGTGATCCACCACGTCTGAGATAATGGAGATATGCGTGGTACTTCCTGCCCTGCGGGCTGGGGTCACCCACTGTGTCCCCTCTCTTACAAGTCTTACAGGCTTCTTGGAAATTCCTTTCCCAGTCCTTTCTCCCTTTGTTTTTTATTTGTTTAGCAGACTGGCTCATGTTAACAATGATATTGTTGAGTCTCTTATCTTCAGTATTTCTATGCAGTCACTGAAGCAAACAACTCTGTTACATAAAAGTTGAGTTTAGCAGAACTTTTTCCTTTAAAATAAACCACGCTGTCCACCCTGAAGTGCTGCAGTGAGAGCACTGTGACCATTCATCTTTTTGTAGGCCATGTTGCTGCTAACAGGTAATTAAATTAATCTTCAGTCAAAAGTACTTGTAGAAACCATCTTCAGAAAAAAATTCCTTTTGCATTTTTTCTATTGTCATTCCGTTCCCATTTGTGACAACCTTACAAAGGCTGAAAGAAGACTGAAAAATGCAGGCTATTCTTTTTTTTTTTTTTTTTTTTTTAATGTTCCTTCTGAAATATACTGAGAATTGTTAGAGGTTAGCTGGAATGTCTGCTAAACTGCTTCAGCTGTTCCTTCATCTCAGAAGCTTCACAGGAATGTTTCCCTGTGGCCGAAGGTCCCTCGAAGAGTTGTGGGCTGGGAGCCCTGGCCGTGGAGAGCCGGTGGCAGGCAGGAGCGCTTCCCAAGGAGCACGTCCCTGCTGGCTCTGCTCCCCGGCAGCGGGGAGCCGGGATGACTCGGCAGTGCCAGTGCCAGGACGGACCTGCTGCCAGCCGCGGGACGGAGCTCATGTGTGGGTCTTCCGCTGGAGCAGCTCCGAGCTGTGCCTGACTAAGGGCTCGCAGGCTGCTCCCATCACCCTTCTAGAAGGCAAAAGCTAAATGCTGGCTTTTGGTTGTTTAGTAGGGTTTAGTTCAGAAAGTAAATTGCGCCTATGCCGAGACCTCTTTTTTTTTTTTTTTTTTTTTTCTTTTTTTGGTAATGTGGAGACGTTTGTTAGTTAAGAATTCCTTTTCTATTTAACCATAGTTCTTCAAATAATCTTTGGTGCCTGAATAGTTCTTGTGTCCTAATATGAAATGAGGGATTACTCGTTATATCTGATTTTCTTTTGTTTTGAACTTTTATGGTCAAAACTGGCCGTGGGCACAGGTTGGAATATTCCCTGCAGGTCCTACTTGAGCTAGCTCCGAATTGGAGTTAAAGCCAGCACCGTGTGGGACTTGTTTTGTAATGTCATCGTAGGCAGTGGGGACTCTTTCCTTGAGTTGGGTTCAGTGCTGCTCACTTCTTAATGAGGTATCGCTGCAGTTTTTGTTATGTCGTATGTTGCTGCCTAACACAGGTATGTGGAAGTTGTGGCCTTTCATAAAGTACTAATATGTGTAATTCTGTTCTCCTGTTTCAGGAAGCTGAAGCGCTGGCAAAGCAGCAAGCATGAATTTCAACCGCCTTAAATGTTCTGTAAAGGGAATTTCCACAGCTTTTTATAAAATAGTACAATTGTCTCTGCTTCAAGAAATGTAGATGTGATTTCTAACGTTCGATTGGTGCTTGCAGCATTCACCGTACATAATACAGATTTGAACACAAGATGAAAATGTGAACATAAAGGTAGAGAGCATGGAGTGTATTATTACAAAGTTGGCAGCGTAGGAAACTAAAGCAATTAGACATGAATGATTTTCACGTAGTTTAAACTGTCGTGGCAATTCGTCCATTTTGTGTAAACTTCAAGAAACTATTTTAGTATTAATAATACAGATGGGGTCATACCTAGAGCTCCAACTATTTAAAATATGGAAAACAAGCAACAGCATCTAAAACCTTGTCAGATACTAACTGCAGTGCCTGAGTCGCCTCAAAAATGTTACTGAATTACACAGTAATTTTTCAGTGTCTTTTCTGGTTTCAGATGAAATTGTAGGTGGTATTGTGTAGTATAGCCATTGTAGTCACTTTTGAAAGTTACGTTTCTTCTTTTGTAGAATGGATATTTAAGATTTGTATTGTAACGCATTGTACAGATGATGGAAAAAAAATAATGCCATGTATTTCTCATTTAAGTGATCCGTGTGGGCTCTTTTGACAAAGAAAAAGGGATTTGGGGCAATGAACAGCCTTTCCATTGGCAAGTTCATCACACAGCTGCCTAAGCATGACTTGATTACATGTCTGCGTGCAAGATTCAGTGCACCTCAGTGAAGTATGCGCGAATTCCCAGGCAATGTTGCAAATAAGCCAAAATGGCCAGAAATGGCATTTCCTTACCTGTGTAAGGGTGAAAGCCTTTAGTGTATTTCTCTACAAAAATACCAGTTCACACTGCTTATAGCATTAGGCATCTCATTGCATGTTCAAGTAGTCGTTAGATTCATACAGTATTTTTTCAAATGAGGAGATAAATGTTCAAATAGCAAGAACTATTGTAATTAAGCAAGACTTTTTTTTTTTTGAGGTTTAAAAACTTTTTTTCCCATTGTTACTGCCGTATCATGAAGCTATTAGAGGAACTGCGAATCTGTTAAAGTGTCTTGTATCACTGAATTTACCATGTGCAATATTAACCTGTCTGTTTTTGCAGTGCTCATGAGATAGTCTGTATTTCTTGGCCATATTCTGCAAAAATACAAAGAATCACAAGTGCCCTGAAGGATAAGAAACAGGTTTAAAAAGTGTGGGGGTAATTTAAAATGCTTTTTGCACCATGTAATGTACTTATTCCCCCGAAAGCATCAAAAGACAGCAAGAAAGATAATTAGGCCTTGCTGTAGTTAGAGGATCATTCTAATAGCTCTGCACGCACACGTTTTGATATTCTTTGCTTTATGGAGCCAGAGGAGCAGGTTGTACAGACCAGCAAAAGGCTGCAGCTTATCATCACCGTGCGGTTATTTTACACTGATGCTGTAAAATGGGTGCAGTGCTTGTTAAATACGTTCTGAAAGGGCTTACAGTTCATAGTTTGGAAGTCTGAAATCAGGAGCAGGGTAAAAGTAAAAACTTAGGTTTACAAAGATGCTTTAAAGTGCAGTAATTAAATACTTCCCTCCCCAACATTTCTTTGGGGCTTTTGTTCTGTTCACTGCAACCGGTGATTTTGTCAACATCCCTGAAAAGAGAAGTGCAGCTACTTGCTTTGGTTGGAGAGGAGCTCTGCTTCTAGAGAGCTCGTGATGAAACTTCCACAGACGTCCAGGCGAGCAGGATCTAGCATGGAGCCAAGTTAACTAGTTAAGATTATATTTAATTCGGGTTTTATCTTTTCTGATTTGGGAGCCTTGGGAGTCAGTTTGAAGCTTGTCCTTACAAAAGCAAGCGCAGTATCAAAAAGGCGTAGGGGTAGATTAATGTTGCCTCACCTTCAAGATTAACACACGCATTTGTGCTTTTTCATGCTTTATCAGTAATTACTGAAATTTTGTGAAATTTAAGATCTTTTGGGTATGGAAGTTAGGTTACATTTTAAATCCAGTGTCCGATTTTTGTTCACTACGATTTCATCTTTCTGAACCGAGGTGATTTTTCTTTCTTAATGCTGGCATAATCTTTCTCTATGTCTAAACTAGTGGTCAAGTTTTTGAGAAAGTATGTAAGAATACCAAGGGAAGTCTTGTGAAGAAAGTGGAACTTGACACACAAGTCACTATACTTGTGCCAATTTGCTGTGTTTCCTGTGTAAGGAAAGTATGCTTTAAGTTTTGTGAATTACAGTCATTATTTTGGAGAAGCTGTAATTGAAAGTCGCTGCCAAATTCTGTCAGTTCAGTGACCCAAAACCTTCCGAAATGAGGTCAATCTTGGTTTCTGATGGTCAAGAAAATTGCCAAGTTTAAGAAAGCAAAGTCATGTCCCTCATCTCGTCCCCCGCCCTTGCCATATGGTAGCATTCAAACGGTATCAGCATTCCTAAGAAAGCTCTGTTGAGACAGACTGAATTATTTCTTTGTCCAGGGAACAAGGCACCAACACAAACTGAAAAATACCGAAAATAGCTCTTTGTTGTGGGACTGTGTGTAAAACTTGCATTCATTTTGATGCAGATCTCTTGCGTGAACTTAGGAGTGCCAGGAATGTGTTGCCTATATGCTATTTTTCTGTTTTCCCACACTTGTGTTGGGTTGATGATGGGTGCAAGAAAGGAATTTGTTCATTTGTTTATTTTTTTTTCCTATGTAGAAGGCAGGCATTGAGGACTTAACATGTATATTAACCATTCCTGTATTATTCCAATAAAATTGTTCTAGAATGCTTTCTCACACGATTGACTTGTTTGCATGTTTTGTTCACAGTTTGAAGTGCCCCCCCCCCAAGTTGAAAGAAGTGGAGTTTTCAAATGAAAATACTGCTTTATTTTAAAAGTACAGGATCTATAAAATAGAATGCATCCACTGCTGCTGCATGTGGAGTCTGTTGGATTGGATCTCTGGCCTGTTGCAATTAATGGGTTTTAATGACTTAGGATACACCTACCCAAAATAGTCTTTGGAGGTTTTGGGTGTTTTAGGAGAGCGCTGACTACACTTCCTAATCAACCTGCTTTCCCACTCTTTCCCCAAGGCAGTAGCAAATTGAAAGCGGACAGGGCAAATCAGCTTCACCCCGTGCCTGTAGAGCTTGCCAAACCACCTCAGTTGCTTTTTTTGCAATGTGTAATTAATTAGCTTGACGCTGCTCACAGCAGGGGAACTATGTTATTTAATATTTGTGTTGCTAGAGGGCAGTGTAGGATAAATTTTTAAACTAAAACTATTCATTTTTACCTTCTCTATTTGCCTGGTAGATCCAGCAGGTACATTCTTTTAAGCTTTACATGCTGAAATTTTGCACCACCTATAAGATCTTTTGTAGAGCTACAGAAGACGCATTCTCAGCCCCTAAACGGCACTAGGATTTGCCCAAATCCCAGACTTGAATTCACATCTTCTGAAGGAAATCAGTAACTTAATTCTTTGAAGAGTGGTTTGCGAGGAGGCTACTTGCTTGCCATTTATGGGATCAACTTTTTTCTGTCTGAGCAACTAAAGCACAACCGAGAGCCGTCAGTTACACTGATGTCTGCTAATGGTGTTTATTCCTCGTCTCTTACTTGCCCTTCTTTTGTGTCTTAAAAAATGAGCCAAAGTGTAAGATAAAAGGGCTTCTGATGCCATTTTTAATTATAATGAATCCGATTTCCTTCCCCTGCATATACACTTGTATAACCTCAAAAAATCGCTGGTTTTCTTGTTTGTTTTTAAAAAGTCTTAAAATACCAAATTGTTATTCATTGATGTAAAGCTCAATACAAATATTTTTCAAAAATCTGTCTAAAAACCAACCTGCATGTCTGCATATGTTTACTTAACTTGCTGTTTAAGGTTACAATGGTGTGCACTGTAATAATAAACTTTTCTACCAGTCAATTTGGGATTTTATTAATTTCTCATTTAATATTCTTAAGTCTTTATGTTGTGGAAAATTCTGTAAAGTTTGATTATATCATTCAGCTTGTGTTGTACACATCTCAAATGCCAGAAATGTCTTGCAATAAAAATTTGAGGTGTGCATGGTGGAGGTAGGTGCCTGCTAGTCTCTTCTCCCTGAAGAGACGTGATTCAGAGTCAGTTCAGGTTAACATCACGAAGGCAAAGCTCAGAATGGGTTAACTTGAGGTACAGTTGCAGTCAGCACAAGTAGGGGAGTAAATGAGTGGCTCCTGAGCAGCTCAATTACTGCTAGGAGACCATATATATCTATGTATACTCTGTGTGTGTGTGTGTGTGTGTGTGTATATATAGTATATAAAGATCTGTTTTGTGTCTTGATTTTCTTTTTTTTTTTAACATGAGAAAAAGGTATTAGCTAGTCCCGTGCACTCAGGCCCACAGTTTGAGACATGCAAATAAGACCTACCAAGAACAATGTAATTAAGGGGTTTTTTTCCCAAAGGACATGAACATAGTAGATTCAGACTGATTAGTAACCTCTGTTAAGAACTTTATCAGACCTCATCTGTGTTTTCTCCATTATGTTAAGAGAATTTTAATAGCTAATTTAAGAAGAAACTGAGACAACTCATTGCCTGGGAATGAGCCATTAAGGTTTCCCGAATTCCTCTTTTGCCAGTCTTGCTTTTTCAGGATTTTTTTGTGGTGTGAATACAACAGTGGGAAAGCGTGTACAATACTGCCTAGAGAGAGGCATTCTGTGTTCACCTTTCCCCAGCCTCTGATGTCACGCTGATTCAAGGTGTAAGGGGAAAATGAAGGCATTTACTTATTGCTCGCATCCATGTAGCCCATTCCAGATCCAAGTACTGGCATTGCATTTCTCCCATGTTGCTTGTTTTTTTTCCCTTTCTCGCAGAGCTCATGACAGCATCTGCGCTTGTTCTGGGAATGTATTATGCTTGGTATAGAGAAAAGCTGATGTGCAAAGCCCATCTGAATAGATCAGGTAGCACTACCTACACAAAATAATCCCACTCTCCAAATCAGTAACAACTGAGGAATTATCTCTTAGTGAGTTTCCTGCAGAAGTATTCTGTGATTTGTCCATATTATGTGATCTTGGTGGAATGCTTTAGACTTCAAAATTGTTAACAATGAGCTTTTCAAGGTTCATTATTAACAATTTTGAACTGTATTGCTAAACTTTTGGGAAAAATTCAGGAAATGCAAAAGGATTCTAAAAGTCAGCTTAAGGTGATGAAATAGAAATTGCTGTCTTACTACGGGAGGTGAGCACTGTGTCATTCTAAGTATGGAGTACTCTGAGTGTTCCGAGCATGCAAAAGACATGTATTTAGCATGTTGCATTCATGAAGTATCAAAATCGGTCCTATATACAGTCATTCCTTCTCTCACAGGTTTGTCTGTTGAAAACATCTTCAGGAACTAGGAGACTTCTTCATTTTCAGTTACTTGGTGTAACAGTTCAAAGTCCCCCCAAAAAAGGAAACGAGCAACATCATTAGTAGCCTCTCAGCTGCAGCGCAATTCCCATCTGACTTCAATTCCTTTTTGAGTCCTTTCCCAGCACGTAGGGGAAGTTATTTCTTGTTTATGCAAACAGAACGTGATCAGATATACGTTTCATAACCACGAACGTGCCATTAAATCCAGATTAACTTTCGGGAAGCCCTAATGCCAAGCCCATGGGTGGTAAATCCCAGCAACGATAGCACAGCGGCTCTGAGCACGGGTCGCTCCCGTTTCCCTCAGCTGAAGCTGGGTCTAAGGACAAGGCCGCCTCCTCCGGCCCTCGCAGCCCGTCCCGCACCCCGAGCG